TGTATTGCCTGAAAGACAGATTTCACAGTTCTTTTCTAGTTTCCATTTGTACACATGAAGACATATACACACAAAGCACCAACTGCAATGTAAACATTACCAGTACATTCATATTTAAATACATAGACAATTTCTATTTTCAAGCATGCATGTACACAAAATGGCTAGCTACAGGAAAAGTGGACAACTTCAGTAAGAAAATTCGATCAACTCAAGAGATCATCCTCACAAATGCTTTGCCAATATTTCTTGATTGATTGCAGTATCCGTAATATAAAATATATAAAATAACCAATACGGTGTATTGTACATGTATTCATTTGAATTGTTGGACTCCAGCACTCATTGTGTACTACAAATTGAAGTGTGCAGCACTGTACAGAAAATGTCTTTTGTACTAACTTGAAAAAAAATTGAAATGTCCCAGCGTAAGAAATGTTATTAAATCATACAAAATTGTTACACAGACTCCCAGAGAGTAACATGGAAAGGGCTTCACTGCAGTTACTGTAAAAACTGAGTGTAAAACAAACTCGTTTATTAAAGTCATATCAGCGCTTCTTACACTGTACAAGTAATAAATTTATGTCTATGCTGAACAAAGGTCTACTGACAAAAGTTACTGGACATCTGCAACATCTTTAACAGTGACTTTAATCTTAATACCAGTGCATGCTTTTGACATGCACACATGCTAAACAGTGTTATATTTTAGAAGAGCAGCCTTTTTGATGTATTTTACGTGGACGTACATGTACATGAAAAACAGTTCTTTGTTTTGTTAAATGTATGTGAATGCATTCAGTCTTTAACCCTAATGGGGCGAAATCCTCCAATTTCAGTATGATTTTACATACCCCCGAGGGAGTTATGTGTACATGTACATGCACCAGGACTTAAGATTAATTCCACCGAGGCGAGATACTTGTGTATTTTAAAGTAGGTGTATTTATGCCTACAGAGATTTGGGCTCCTTTTTCTCACGTACACATGACGGAGAGATTACCTAGTTCTTCAACCCTAGTTCTGCATGCACATGTTCATGCGTTAAGTAGTTGAACTTATACTTCTGCCTGTCCTCTAATTTCAACATGAACTGTATATTTACTGCTTGACTGTGCCATTATTGTTGGTTACAGGTACTATTACGTGAAGCTTTTATAGAGCATTTCATTATTATTTTGGCTCTCCATTTCTGAAACATTCCACATGAAACAAGTTGAAATTTGCTTTCTGCAGCCAGTAATGTATAGGAATTCACTTTGTTAGGCAGTCGTATGCTTTGTTGTCATGAGCAGGGCAGACATCATCAGCCAATGGCGTGAGTCATTTACTGTCTGACAATCTGACTCTAGTCCAGTAATATGTATGATGCCCATCTGGGTACCTGTATGGGTCACTTTCTGCTATGTAGACTCCATTGCTATATGGATTCACATCAATATTGACAATTGTAAGTGGCTTCCAAACAGGGATGTTCTTCGTCAGTGTTGGCGAGTGTTTCCTCAATGTTTGTAACCAGTTCCTCTTTCTGACGAAGGAGTTGATACTTGCCTGCATCAGCCACCTGCTGGCTGACATAGTCATAGACATGCTGAACCCACTCCACCTTGGCGGAGATTACTTGAAGTGCCTTGCAGAAATCTTTTGCTCTGGCTCGTTTCAATGTCATCAGGGTTTCCAAAACTTGATCTTCGTCTTCTGCCTCTGCATATTCACCAGCCGTCTCAATCTTTGCGACAGTGTTGTCCAGGATATCTTCTGTGCGTTCACAATTCCTCTTGATGTGCTGCACAGCTGAGATGTAGTCTTGCTGTCGCTTCTCCAGCCTGGACCGGAGAATGCCCAACTCCTGCCTCGCCAAGTCATCAGCTTCATCGATCTCCAGATGCTCATGTTCTAGGCTTCGATGTGAGGTTGCTGCACACATTGCACAGATCAAAGCCTGGCAGGTTTTGCAGTAGAAGCAGCATTCATACCTCTCATGCTTCCTGCACTTTGGGACAACGGGGGGTTTCTCAGTTGTGGTTGGATCTAGTATGTCAATATGGTGGCCGGTGTGCTTTGAATCCTGTTGCATCCAGCAGTCTTGGCACAGCCTCTCCTGACAGTCGCTGCATTGGATGACTGCACTGGCCTCATCGTTGCACAGAGTACAGGTCACTGCACCCTGCTGAATGCGCAGCAGCTTTTTCTGGCTTGCGACTTCCTCCACCAGTGATACCATCATGAAGTTACGCTTCAGCCCCAATGTCCCTCTTCCAATCAGTGATGTCTTGACTCTGCAATTGGGGCAGTGTAGTTCATTGCAGGAATGGCCGCTGTTACTTCGCATGTCTTCAAGACATTGTATGCAGAATGTGTGAAGGCAGTCCAAATAGGTTGGAGATGTGAAGGTGTTAAGGCAGATATGACACTTGAGATGGTCTTGAGTTAGCATATCCAAGACTGATTCGGCTGTGATTTCCATTAGTTGCCCTTTGGGGGACTCCATTTCCTCCAAGGTTACTACAAAAAAAAAATAAAATTGTATAAAATTAATGTACATTCATGTACATGTAATGATGTGTGTATCGGTATGGTGCCCAATGAGATCTTCTCAGAATGAGGTCATCTCACTTACATGTACAATGTTAATACATATTCTGCAGTTTACATCTGCAGGAAGAAAATACAAGCACACCCACCCAAGTAGACAAACCAGCAAACTTGCCAACTAAACTGACTGATGAATAAACTAATCACAAAGCAGCAATAGAACATGCAATGTATCACAGTAATAGGATTGTACCTACACAACACAGCTGTGCAGCATTTTACAACACAAATCATCATGTAACGTGCACATACATGTACACGTAACATTTATATGATAGCGGTATGTGTCTGTCCTTGTGCATGTAATACACAGATACATGTACGCTGCACAGTGCATGTACTGGACCGTATACACCTGAAAGAATATTGCACCACAAAACTTTCCAAATTAATTTCAGTGTGAACTTAATGGGAGAAAAAAATACTTTGACATATTACAAGTACCTGCTTTGTTTTTGGTGAATTCCATCATGAAGGTAGCAGTCAGTGGTAGACCGGTAGGTTTAAACACAAACCCAGTCATAGGAAATTTACAGTACGAATGCAGAGTGCTAGTTGGGTGAAATGCATGTAGATCCCAAATGCCTGGCTGTTCTAGAATGCAGGGGGCTTTATATACTCAGAGTCAGTTGTACACGTCAGGCTTATAGAGACGGTGTTTCCCAGTGTACATGTACTGTCAACCTCAGTGCTGTGATTGTGCAATGGTTTGCACAGTTTGGTCTATGAGGCATGAGATTGCGCAACCTCCATAGATATGTAATGATGTACCGGTCCCCCACATGTACATATAGAGTACATACCGGGTACATGTATGTACATGTGCATGTACATGCAGGAGCCTGTATTGACCTTGTATACACAGGCTGTTTCTCATCAAGGGAATTCCCCTTGGCATGCAATGAACTCACACATGGTACAGGAATGCCTTGTGTGGCTGAATTTACAGTCCCAGTATGCTACATGTACATGTATGTGGGGATGCCAGCAGAGTGCTACTGTAAGCAGCTTAAAACCTTCCTTCTGTTTTAACTGTCAAAAACAGTCAAAAATGCCTTCCAATTGATTTCCCCCAGTACACAGACACATACATGTATGAGGAATTTGACTGATTTGGACTGATATGACAACTGTGTCAAGAATGCATCTTAGCATAGGAGGGTTAGACCTGGGTCACTGGCATAGGTTCAGACGTGTCAAATTACTCAAAAAAAGTGAAGGACCACTTTTTTCTTAACTTGTAATTTTTTTCCAGCAATGATTGGGGTCTAGTTCTTTCATTTTTTGTGTGTCGAGATGGTGTTCTCACTGGGATGAAAAATTTGTAAAAAATGTTTCAAAACGTCAAATGCACATTTCAGCAGTAAAGTATCTCATATAAAAAAGTACACAGAAAATGAGAAGTGGTCCTTAACTTTTATTGAGTAGTGTATTAAATTAACCATCTACATGTACGTACCATGTACTGGAGTTCTGAGAGATAAAAAATTTAAATTACTTATTCAAAATGTTTTTAATAAGTGGGAAATGTACACGTACATATTTAGCAATTGTTGCCTATGGTATTGGGGTCCATAGTGTTTTGTACACCCTCGAGGCCAAATGGCACTGGAGGCAAACCCTGTCACAGCAGGCAACAATTGTTTTGTTATACTTGCAGGTGTATCATGGTCATAAATTACAAAGGAGCAGTCTTATATGGACATGTTATGTATTATATGCATACATGTACACGTTATTGCAAGATAGCTTAAAACACTCTGACAAATTGAGACACTTTAGCAGCAAATTACACGTAGATTTCAAATTACAAGGAAAGTTATTGATGGTGATGTCCTTTGTTGAGCAATGTGCTTGTTTCTTTTAGGGGGGGAGGAATCTAGGATTTATGACAAATTGTCATTGTTATGATTATTAACTTGTTTAATAGAGAAACCTGGGATTCATGAAGAACTGGACTTTTTGTTGACTGGTTGAATCTCAAGAAATTATTTACACCAAATTCTCTTGAAAAGTATTGACAAGATTGAACAGCAGACGAGAAGAGACGACATCAGTGTTTTACATGTATATAAACAAAAATGGTGGTGATCATAGCAGAAACAGTGATAAGAGCATACTCACGTTCCAGGATCATAGTGGGGTGCATGAACAGAACAGAAGTCTATTAACCTGCGGGTCTCTGTCATGGTCAGAGTGAAGAGAGTATCGCATGTGAACGCACAGGGGGTTTCAGTGTCCTTCCACTCAGCACATCTCCCCCAGTAATCAACATATACACTGTACGTGTACAGGTAGCACATGTACCGTCGTCGTGGCTATCCATCCTTGAACCCAAGATTACACAATTACAATGCAGTGGACACGACTCATCAACTGTGGGAAAGATCAGCGTTATCTATCAGCTTTTGAAGCCTGGCAACATCACCAGTGCACTCGATGCATAAATGATACCTACCGGTACACGCTTGAACTTGAAGCAAATCACCTGATCAATCCTTGACCAATAAAAAGTTATTGTCTATGACCTTGGTGTAACAAGACATGTCCTGTAATGCAACTCAAAAGCATACATGTTACACGCAGGATGCATGCACAGAATAATTTTTTTTAATAATGGGTACATGTACATTAGTTAAATGCAAGTTTGCAATATAAATCGCATACGTGTAAATTGAAGAGCTTAATCAGCTTGCGTAAATAAGGAAATGACGTGGCAAAATATCTGAGGTACTGTACAATACACAGACACATAAAGCAGAACAATAAAAACTCTGGCTGAGAGGTTTCAGTAGCAGCATTTTGTAATTTTTCTTTATTCTAAGAACGACTTGTACACACGCTTTACTCTCAGTACAGTAGTTATGCATGTATATGTACATGATGTATGGGTGTACATGTACATGAAACATAAACGTGTACATTCATGTGTGCGACATACTGGTTGAATATCACAGTGTTGTCATCAAATGTGTATACATGCACGTATACCGGTACTTTGGATTAAAGCCGATTAGTATTCAAGTTTTAAAACTACAGAATATTGGCAAAATAGATCCAGTACCAGTGCATGTTGCTTCTGTGAGCTAAGAGTTAAACACTACATTTTGTTTTCTCTGTATCAACGGATAATTTACATGTCCTAGTACAGCATCAAAATAATATAGATACTAGTAAATTTCTTTTGATAAAGCAAAGTGATAAGCATTGGATTTTACCAGATGAGTGACAAATACTGCACTCTCCAATTTGAAATTATATTATGCAGTTGATTAAAACATTTAATAAACTTATTGCAAACTCAAACAATGCAATAATTAATTTCACCTCCGAATCTGAGGTACCGGTATTGTGCATATGCTTTTAAGTAATTACATGTACAGTAGTTAATCCAGATTGAATAAGGTTCAAATATCTATTGATTTGTTTTGGTTCATTAATTCCCAATACTGCATTGTGCTTTCCTATTGGTGCTTTTTGAACTGGGAAGAGGGACGAATATACCATAGCGGCTTGCATTGCTTATATACAAGCTGAAGATTGCATACATGTACAGGTGTACATGTAAGTACTATCGATATTTACATGTAGATTTACTAGCTCAGATGGACGGAGTGCTGGAGAAGTTCCTCATCCCTAACCAAGAGAAAGGCTGAGCTGTCACCTCAGCATTGTTGATGCTATGCGTCTGGCACTCAATCAAATGGGTGGTTTGTGCCTGGAGTTTGTGACCTTCATGTACATGTAAGGTGCCAGTACATATCAGGAATGGGATTGGATCTTAGAGCTTTATTTGGACCCAGTACAGCCTTGGCCCAGGTCTAACGGGGATGGACATTTCGGTGTCATCCATGTACCATGTGTCATTACTTGAAGTCACCTGGAAATCAGCTGACTTGTAGCACTTGGCTTTTCTCACGTTGATGTAGACAATTGTTGGTAGTTCGGGAATTGGAACTGTCTTTTCAAGAATATGTCGTAGCTGCAGTACCAGTTCTTCCTTTGATCGGAGGAGGGCATATTTATCTGCTGAGCTTACCCGTTTACTGATGGTGTCACGTATGTTTTGAACCCACTCAACTTTCGTGCATGCAGCCTCCATTGCTTTGGAGTACTCGGCTGCCCTTGCTTGTGCAAATTCAGTAAGTTTGGAAAGGTATCGATCCTTGTTGGGACCTCCTGACTGCTGGATTTTGGTAGTTGCCTCAGCAATTTCGTCCTGCATCTCATTACATTTTCTCTCGATGATAGCTTTGTGTGAGATGTATTCTTGTAGACGCTTCTCAGATCTGGACAGGAGAATGCCTAACTCCTGCCTCGCTGTGTCATATGCTTGATCGATTTCCAGATGCTTGTGTTCGTGGCTGCGATGCAAGGTTGCCATGCACATCAGGCAGATAAAATCCTGGCAGGTTTGGCAGAAGTAGCAGCATTGGCTCTCCCCATGCTTGCTGCACTTCGGGACAGTGGGAGATTTCTCAGTCCAGATAAGATCCAGAACATCAGTCTTGTGGGTGGCATGGTTGGACTCCTGTTTCATCCAGCAGTCTTGGCACAGCCTCTCCCGACAGTCACTGCACAGGATGACTACATTGGCCTTGTTACACAGACTGCATGTAGGGATCATGGCCATCTGCTGAATGCACAGCATCCTTTTCTGGCTCTTGACCTCAGCCACCAGTGACGCCATTGTGAAGTTGGGTTTCAGTGCCGATATACTCCTTCCGATCAACGGTGTCTTGACTCTGCAATCAGGGCAGCCCAATTCATTGCAGGAACGCCCGTTGCTACTTCGCAGGTTTTCAAGACATTGTAGGCAGAATGTGTGCTGGCAGTCCAAAAAGGTTGGAGATTCGAAGGTGTTAAGGCAGATATGACACTTCAGAAAGTCTTGAGTTAGCATCTCCAAGACAGACCGAGCTGTGAGTTCTGTTGGATTCTGTGGGTGGGGCTCCATTTCCTCTGAGGATGAGGGAAAACAGTTAAAAATTAGAAATGATTCGTTTGTTTTTAGAGTGAATAACACATCTTGTTTGAAGTAATGTGTACAGTATGAGAAGAAGAAAAAGTTGTTGCAGCCCCCCACCTCTTCAAAAATGAACCCAAATGTTTACCAAAAAAATTTAATGAATCAACTGACAGATCTCAACACATCGGCAGAGTATACATATAAATGCCAAAGTGTACTTACATGTACATGTATATTCATTGTGATCATGAACATACATATGTAACGCAATCTAAATCTCTACACATGTAGCAGATGCTTCTAAAAAATTAGTCAAACTGCTATATGTACAGGTTCAACAAAAAACAAAGAATTAATGCTATGTTATCATATTCAAGAAGTAATTGCAATAGATATGGGTACGGTACATACATGTACATGTACATTACCTTTGATGTATTCACCAGTTGGAATAATTTTGTACATGGGTATATCTCAGCACTCAGTAGTACAGTTACAGGTGTAACGGCTCCAGGAACCCAAGGTGTTGTGTGCTGTTTGGCTTGGTCTGTGTGAATAATGATGGCTTATATACATGTACTGTACATGTACATGTAGTGTTGGTCGGTTTTAATATAAAACTGACCTCATGCCTTCATGCAGTGGCCTGAGATCCACGCACATGTACATGTATGTATGGGGAATTTCCTATACTCTGTCCACATTGATGTGGTAATACTTTTAATAACGGGGAAGTGCTCTTCCCAGAAACAGCGGCAGCAATTGTGAAATTGCAATCTGACCCACATTGTACATACTCAGTACCACAGTGCTGGGGTTCCCCCTGCCTAATCAAAAGTGAGGCGACCAGCCTCATGACTGTCTGTGATTGGCTTTTCTTAGCCAATATTGCCCTGTGACTGGTCAAAAATGAATAATAAATGAATAACGTGGAAATCCCTGCATTTCATCCTAGGAAGCAGTAATTTCCTTAATACTTGTACATGTACCGGTATGTACATTGTATATATGTATTTCACTGTCATTTGAAGGCCAAACATATACATGTACAGCAGAACGCTGCTATAATGAACACAACGGTGTCCACGCTAAATGTTCGGTACAGCGGTGTTCCACTGTACAATGTACATGTAAGTGAAGTTATTGTGTGGAGCATTTTCCTATAATAATGCAAATGTATGTATTGTCATTTTGCATGCACAGTCTCTACCTGAGAGCAGTACTTAACTGCTGAAATCATGTGCGGCATAAATCACTTCCAGTCTGGTTTCTGTCTCTGAAAATATAAATTTAAGACAGAGGAAAGGTTAGGAACCAGTCTACAGCACCTCCCCCCCCCCACAGAGACAACAGCGTACATGTACACATGTACTTGCATACATGTACATGTACGTATGTGTACGGCAGAAAAACAGCATAAGAAATGTACGAGTAACAGTATAAAGATGAGTAACACAATCACTGGTTGAAATGGATTGAAGCTCCTAAAAGATGGTGAAGATTCCTGTGAGCTATGTTCAATCACTAAACCTGCTGTCTGTTTCTAGTGTTTGTTTGTCCTTCCAATCTCCATTTCGAAGAAAATGTGTGTATTTGTGGCGATTCTTGCAAAGCGTAATCTTCCTTATCACCTTGCCGTGTGTGCACAGTATTGCTAAGTCCAATTGTGTGTCTCTGTGCAAGCTGATTTCTTTGAGTTCCAGGCATTGTTGGTCATCGTCTTGCATGAATATGACTGAAACTTTTTGTGGTTTTATTACAGATGTGTAAAATACAAATTGAAGCCCACACTGTAAAACCAAATTTTGACCAGCCTATTCTAGGAATAAGTAATCACAAGCATTGTATTGGCCTGATGATTTTTTTGTAATGAAGAAAACTAGGCAACAGACCGGACGTGTTTTTGATGAAACAGATCGAGAGTATCCTACATGTAAAACATCATTTTTCATGGGAGATGTGAAATGGTTGACATCTGATGTAATACATATACATGTAGGATATGGTTTGACGCACCGTTGGTGATGCACATGTTTGCTGTCCAACGGTAATTTCCACTTTTCTATTAACCACCTCGCACTCATCGCTGCATGTACTTCAGTCACTGGAAAGTCCTGCCACAATGTGGTTCTTTCCTGTCACAAGTGCCTTCAAATGTAAAAAAAGTATTGTTGTGAAATTACTCAACATGAACTATTAATCGATTATTAGTCAATGATATTGGTTATTTTTGGTATTATTACAGCGACTGACAGCACGCTCTGCGATTATTACCGGTAGTTCACTCACGTTGCGTCTTCGCCACTTCAAAGTGCATTGACAGTGCACAGTTGAGTGTGTAAATGCCTTCAATCGTGGACCTGTAACAATAGAGGACAATAGGGTCCACGGTTGCCGACGAGTCCTCGGTTGGAAAACGTGCACAAAACATATGGGAGGTCTTCCGAAAAAGTATGACCAAAAGAGGAACAATAGGGAGTCCACGATTGAAGGCGTTTACACACTTGCGTGAGTTACTGCTGTGTGCGCACTATTAGAACCACATGTACACAGCGCGCACTTGCTTGCTTGCTTGGTCACGCTAGCGCCCTCTTGCGGGGGAACGTGAGACATTGATGTTCGCTACGCTGCATGCTGTTTTGTTCTACCTTATGTGACTTATTAGTCAATGTTCTGATGGAATGTTTTGTTCTTAATTCTCTGTAAAAACAAGCCCAACCTGTATAAGTAGCCCCGCTAGATTGTAAATAGAGAGTTCTGACCTTGGACCATTCGGATCTGTGCCCAGAATTAAACCAGCTGTGAAGTATAAATCTGTGTGACTGCCCTTTTATATGCCCGTTTCAACGGCAAACCTGCAACAGGACATGTACATGTATGTACAGTGTACATGTACCAGTGTTTGTATGCATGTACCGGTATAATGTACATGTACATTTGTAACTTTGCTTGTCCAATATTGTATACATGGTCATGCATGTACATGCACCACCACTGGTACCAGTACATGTCTAAGCACTTAGGATTGCTGGTATGGTATATGGGTTATTCCAGAAATTCGGGGTTCATTTTTTTCGTGTCCCTGTCACATCTGAAAAATTATTTTAGAAGTCCAGAACACATTTTCGTGTTTCCAAGAGTGATGAATTAATGCAGATTACCTGCCAAACNCTTAATTTCTGGAATGACACATATTTCTTCATTTCCTTTCTCGGTTTCATCATTACTTTAGTTTCAAAGGAAAGATGATTTTCCTTCCTTTGCCTACACCATGCTAAAAATACTGGTCCAATGAGCCCTCTTCCCCTCTCAAGTGTCTGTGATCACAGAAAGTAAAAGCATTCCTTTGTAAGATGGACAAGTGATCAATTGAAAAAAATGGCTGAATTGCCGTAAAGTTAACAAAAATCATTAGAGTTACTGTGACTGGTAAATAAAATCTTCTAATTTGACCAAGTTTAACTTTGACACGGTCAATTGCCAATAATTGCCCACCAAACCATTGATCTTCACATTGTGTGCTTTCTCTTGTTTGTCCCTAGGATTCAGTCACCATCCTGCAAGATGGCAACGGTGCCCTCTATCCCCTTGCCAAGAACGCCGTTAGTGGGATCCGCGATCCCATCTGGTTTGATCTACCACCGGCACGATGCCTAGCCCTAGGCACCCACTCCCTAGGACATGGTTTATTTGGCACTAACGTCAAGACCAAAGCTGCTGTACTGGTCCTAGCTGTAGAGGTACCGTACAAGTGTTTGTACTTGTTGGGCAATTCAAATAAGCCCTCCTCCTGAGGGCTTTCAGGCAATTTCTCTGACTGAAACAGTAACTTATTGAGTGGATATGGTCACTTGCACTTGGGAACGTGATATGGTGAGACTGTAATGGCTTCTTTGGCCATGTTTGACTCTACTGGCTATGGTTGTGAGCAACATGTGTGTTAATGCCTGCAGCCACTAGCCATTGGACTCCATTGGAGACATTGAAGTCCATGTGGACTCAAATCGGTATCAAATTGGCATACATGTAGCTGTGCTTCCCACTCTACGTCAGATCGCCCAGGTTCAAATCCCACCTGATGTACATGTATCATGTCGATTATTGGTAATCAGCACCTTTTTAAAACACATTCCTTGAAACTCATTAAGTAGAATGTACATGTACATGATGGGTAGATTTTCCTTCTTCACTTCTGGTGGGCATCCTTGCTGCGTGTAGGTTTTATTCACATGCTGGGTGGGCCCTTTAGGGAAAAGGATAAAGCATCACTAGTCAAGCTTCAACAAGATTTATATAACTTCAGCTAGTCTTCATTCATGTGTTTCTGAATTTTTCAGACCCAGGGCCTGATGCCACATATACTGAGATGCGACTACGAAGCAGTGTCACACTTTCTGAGCAACCTGGAGCTGGAGACCAGTAAGTCCAGTGCACACATGGAACTATATATGAAAACTAGAGTGCTAACTTCTCATTCTCCGTGAAGAGAAAATTTGATGCCGTCCTGGGCACAGACATTTTGAATCCATGTGTGTGCTTTTAGAATGTTCATAGTTAGATAGAATGGATATCGAATAACGTATTCTAAATGCAATGCGCAATCCCTAACGTTCGATCATGGTCGTCTGATGTCGTGTGCTTGTCTTTTGATGACTGTCTTTCAATATATAAATTCAGTCCTAATTAAATATTCATTCTCTTAATTCACTCAGTATTAATTGAGTTGACAGCTCTGGAGCTGCAGCTGTTGTGCGCATCGCGTACCGATACAATCCGATTAAAAAGTCTTGGTAAAATTTTCGTGAATCGCATGCGCACACGCGTTTGCATTTTTTGGCATAAAGCGAAATGAAACTCTCATCTGATGAATGTGTGTTCAGCTTGTTTGTGTATTGGCTTTGTTGGCATATGGTTTTAGAATACAGACGCAGAAATGCAAATGCATGTATGTAGCTCTACAAAACCTGTGTGCAATTTTGAGTTTTCCATAGGTTTGTGCACAAACAAAGATGCGCCAGCATACATGTAAATCACTTTGTACATACATAAGTCACACATGTACATGTAGCTTTATGGATGCACATTGGCTTTAGTACATACATGTATACACTGTAATGTTGAAATGCTCTGTTAGTCTCAATCCAGTCTGATACTGCAAGTCTGTGCAGCCACAACTACACTTCATATCCGGTTCGTAAGTGACTTCGTCACAAAGGTGGATGGGCCACAATTTGCAGGCTCCCATCGGACAATCGCTGAAGTTGGGCGTTAACGTCCGGTACCATGGTTCCATGTAAACGGCGATCAATGCATGCAACTGTGTGTGCAGTGCATGTGCAGTAGTGACATCACACTTACGAACCGGATAGCCACTGTAGCTACATGTATTTGACAACATGCCTGTAGAACCTTGCTGAAACTTGAGGTGCAAAGTGGTACGTGGTCTCCACATACGTCTTTACACAAAATTGTTGTAGTCTCAGGTAATAATTAATAGAGTTAGTGTAAACTTGGCTTTTTAACTGATATCAGGAAGTGTTTTGCCTCGTATCAAAAAGACATGGTTTATTACTGTGCCTGCACATGGCTGTCGCTTTGCTGGGGTGAATTATGTTAGTTATGTCTTTCTCAGATGCAGTTGTCAAGGAGCAGAAGTTGAAGGTCGTTCTAGCAGAGCGTTGTGATGGCAACCGTAACATCTTCCACGCCTGCATCAGCAACTGCGTCCCTATCTCCAACACAGAAACCCCAGTCACAGGTTAGTCTCTGTAGCCAATGCTTGCCATGACCTCAGCTCATTCTTACTGTATATGTAACTTGACAGCTTCTGGTAACCACATTCCAGATGTACGTTAGCATCTGCACGGGTAAGCTGGGGTTAGTTGGGTCAAGTCCCACCTGAGAGAGTTGTTGCTCTCAGAAAATAACGTACCAATCTCCCAAGGGCAAACCAAAAATCGAAATTGATATCTTCCTGTTGCAAAACTCTTACAGGTTATTTCAAACTTGGGATAACAAGTGGGTTTAGAGAATGTGCTACAGCTGAACTGCCGTTCATTTCTAAACTGAACTCATGCGAAGCAAACCAAGCTGGTCGGTTGGGATATTGGGCATTTACGACATAGTATGAACCCTCCTATGCCAAGACGCATTCTTGACACAGTTGTCCCATCAGTCAAAATCAATAAAAAAATACTCTTGTCAGTGTATTGGGGCAGATCAACTGGAAGAAAGTTTTGACTCTCTGTGACTGTTGCAGCAAAAAGAGGGTTCATAGCACATGGAATGCATGCAGAGAGAGCAACAGAAACAAAAGTGTATAAAAAAGCTTTGCTTTATCTTCCACGTTACTGTCATTCCTTGTATTAACATGTACACCCACTGGAAGTATGTCTGTGCTCATGTGCACATCTTCACATGTGCATTGTTCTTGTGTGATGTCTCTGTGCATTACTCCATGTATAATACATGTGAAATGTGTGTGGTCAGAATTCATTAACGGTCAACTGAGGACGTGCAGTGTGCTGCATTAGTGTGCGCGACTGCAGAATTCTCACTCCAAACATTTCTGCTGATGTATTATTCAGACCACAATTATGTGTGCCAACCACCCAGTAGCTATGCCTTTACATTCCCTATGAGGCCAGTGATGTCATGTGTAATGTAAAACACCCATTGTAATTACATGTATCGTTGTCATTCAACTGGAAGGCTAGGTCAGGACTGTTAGACTGCTGAACTTGTTTACTTATTCACATATCCTATAGTCACTTTGTTCAAGCACGGTCCAAACACATCACTGGAAAGTGGCAAAAAACGTCAGGCAGCCAACCTTAACTGTCCTTGGAATTTAACTTCCAGTGAGTGAACTTCGGGGAAACAGTTTAGAAAAAAGTACAGTAAAATCTCGATAAGTCGAAGCCCGCTGAGTCGAAACTCCGTTTACCTCGACGTCTTTCTGTATTCCCGACAAAAGAATAGGCCTTCATGTACAATAAACTATCCGTAACTCGAAACGTCAATACCACTAAAGCCGCCTATCTCGAAGTTTTGGCTGGCCAATTAAAAAAACACACTGAAGAATGATGAATAGAAAGTGATGAAACTGATGTTCAAAACAAAATTTCCCGACCTTGTCTGAAACCAGCCTAAACCTAACCTGAGGGGTTAATTGCAGCACTACTTTGAAATACTTTTTCTTATTCTGTCTTCTTCTTTGTTAGACGCACCACCAACTTCAGCTGAGTCTTTGACAAGTAGGGCACAGATTATTCGTAATGCTCTGCACACTTTGAATAACGCCATTGCTGGGGCTGCCATGGCCAACTCGAGCTCTGCAGCATCAAGGAGGTAAGGGCAGAGAACCGAAGGCTGTATAACCATGGTATTTAAGATGCGTGTATGAACACTCATTGGGGTCATGGGCTGTCTGGCTGACAAGATGGTTGACTGACTGACAGGATGGCTGGCTGGCTATTTGTCTTGTTGCCAACTGTGTGAGTTCATCTATGATGCTTATCTTAAGCCAGTCCTCAACCATTATCTTATACTCATCTCTCCCTCTGGCAGCATCAACTTAAGAGAGCTGATGGGCCGTGCAGCCAGTGCTGCCCGCACAGCCCGGGTAGCAAGTAGCGGGCTAGCGGCGGAGGACTTGAGAGATTCCTCTCCTCCTCCAACCCCTGGCAGTGCTATCCCGACTTTGAGCTGGCCCCCGGAACCCTCTGGCCTCTATGGAGGTACGTGGCCAGTTATCATTCGCCGGCACAGCGTGAACAGACAATAGATGGTGCTGTGAATTGTCTGGAGTTTTTTTTTAAAGCACTATGTGATCTTTGTTGACAGAATGTTCTGAAAGGTTCTTACTGAAAATGTTGCTTTAAACACAAAATCGGGCAAGAAGGCTTCAAGAATTTTAAGTGCATTGGCCCTGTAAACTAGTCTGGACCATGCTAAGTATCAATTAAATATTTCTTTCTAATAATATTTGCCAAAAATCATTTGACTGACCTTTAGTTCTGACCGAGGACACTTGAAATCTTGATGTGGTTACCTGTACCTCAGATCAAGAGGAAGACAACCTGAGCCTTGGCACCAGCGCCGCGGCAACGGCAGGCTCCACAAGCTCCCTGGCTAGCAACGCATCCTCCCTGGCCGCCTCCTTGCCCATCCCTCCCGCTTACCCAACGGCGGCCCGCCTCACCCCTGAGGAGAGGAAGAGGAACGCCCACAGCATCCTGAGGCTGCTCTGCTGTACCCCGGCACTTGTGCCTTGCATCGTGGACTTGCTGTCGGCAGAGTAAGTTTGACCTGATCCCTAATATCACAGCAAGGAGAATTCTGTTGAGTAATGACAAAAAGAGATGCATTAAACATTTGTTGTTACCTGCCACATGCCATTTAGATTGAAGAACATACTTGACGTACTGAGCACTTGGGACTCACAAAAAATCTGCACTTTTTGGTTAAAATCGAGCCTTTTTAGTTCTGAGGTATTCAAATGAATTTGTTACCGTCTGGTGTTTTCACAGAGATTTTGTTCTTTTACTTCAGGGATGCCCGCGGTGACACCCCTTTCATGGCAGCAGTTGCCTGCCAAGCCTACTCAGCTGCCCTCTCTATCTTGGATGCCATGGAGGAGATCACCCACAAGCCCCGTAGTGCTACCGCTGCAACCCCTACCCCCGCGCCCACCACCGCTAAGCCTGGCAGCACAGCCCCATGTCCTTCCAAACAGCCAACCAAGCCCAAGGCTAGCGGGGCCAGCAGCTCTGGTCCAGCTGTGGTAGAGGAGTTTAATCAAGCTGTGTTTGATCGGATGTTTTACCCTCCGGGCAGCGATCCAGACTCGTCGCCGCTCTACGTGCTCTGTTGTAACGACACGTGTAGCTTCACCTGGACTGGCACCGAGCACATCAACCAGGCAAGTTGTAGTTTCCACGTGTCTAAACTGATAAAACTTAAGGATTCCTTTATCAGTTATTTCTTACAAGAATCTATCCAACTCACCAATTTTGCTCTAAATTTTCAGGAAAACTTGTTTTACCCAACGTCAACCATTGGCATAGGTTGCACATCCACTGCTCTGCCTCTTATGCTCTGTATCCACTTGATTCCATATTCAGTTGGACAGGCTTTGATCCAGATTTTCATTATTTTGTTAATGTAGTCTTTTGATTGTAATTGTAAAGTTCAAGGAGCTGTAAATGTCTTTCATAACTATTTCCAACATCAGCAGAGTGACCACCAGCATTCACTTCCTGAGGAAGCCACGTTGCCTGGATGAAACTATTCATAACAGAAGTAATCCTTTTTCATGATGAATGCCAATTTTAACCAGTGATGTCTGTGGTGGTTTGCAGGATATCTTTGAGTGCAGGACATGTGGTCTGACTGATACCCTGTGTTGCTGTACTGAATGCGCACGGGTTTGCCATAAGGGACATGATTGCAAGTGAGTGATTAGGTACCATACTAATAGTCTATCAGCATCTCAATCTGGCTAACTGACACAAGTTACCATTGAAGAAATTGAAGGCAGGTGTATGATTAGCATGTGTTAACTTAAGACATTGGGTAAAGAAAGGGGATTGAACATAGCCAGTGCACATATTTCATGATCGTTATTATGTGTACAGGACTGACTGAAATGGTTTGTGTCCAGTTTGTTTCATACTGCAAATCTTATCTCTTTCATCTTCTCTCCAAGACTCAAGCGGACGTCTCCAACAGCCTATTGTGACTGCTGGGAAAAGAGCGAATGCAAATCGTTGATTGCTGGCCACCTGCAGAAGCGCACGGAGCTGCTGTTTCGCCTAGTCAACGACACCCACCTGGTTACCGTGCCTAACAGCAGGTAGGTAGCATCTCAGGCAAGCCCTGCCGATTGGACTGTTTGCCAGTTTTATCAGGTAGAACAGGAGCAAAATGTCCTTTGAGGAAGTTGTTTACCAGGATCAAAGCATCATGCTCGCTAACTTTTGAGCTCTGTACATTTTGCAGCAATCAATGCAGTGAGCAGTTTGCAACATATTATATGTTTTCTGTCTTATTGCTCGACGTTTACAAAGACTGTCATCAGTGGACTGATAATTTCTTCACCATTTTCTTTTCTTCCAAAGAGGAGAGAACATTCTGCTCTTTCTTGTGCAGTGCGTTGCTAGGCAGACTGCGGAACAGCGCCAATATGGTCAGTCTAGGAACAGCAGACTGCCCAGAAAAAACAATGACTCAGGTAGGCTGATGAAAAAGCAAATTTATGTCCGAATTTGCCATACTTCCACTGTTGACAAAAAGAGTCCTATTTAAAGCAGTATTGTTAAATGGGCTGTGTCCTTTGCATGGCTAGGATGCAAACCATCATAATGCTATGATCCTCTTATGTGGATGGAGACATCTAGGAGACATCTTGCCGAGAAACATAACATAATGACCAACAGCTGTTATTTAAGCCCCAAAGGATCAGCTTTATAACCCTAAAAGAGCCGGATTATTTTTGCCGTTGCACAGCTGGAGAAGGGAGCAGAATCTGCCCCCAAGAACTCAGCTGTCCCATGCCTAATTGTTCAGAATATTGGCGTGAATGTATATAAAGACACTTCTTATTAGTACGGATGTGAAGTTTCAATTCAGTCTATCATGTGAGTTTGTTGTTACGGTAATATGAGCTTGTTTGAAGTTCAAGACCACAAGCCTGCCAGCCCATGTGCATTGTGCACGACAGTGGGAAAAGTGTACATTTCTGGCTGACCTTTCTCGGAAAAAGTCTCACTGCGCGAGAACAGTATATTCGATTTTCACAGAAATGGTGTCAAAATAAAAGAGTTACTAAGAAAACTCCCAAAGGCTCAGCTCATGAAGAAAAATGTGCTGCTGCAATATCAGAAACATGTTGAGGAAGGGTAGAATCTGCCCCCTTCCCCTGGCCATGTTAGGGTTACATTAATTTGGGATATTTCTGTTTCCTCCCCCTTGTATATGACATCAGTCCGTCAGTGCCTGAGGACGCGGCATAGAACCAGCACCTGCATTCAAACCTCTGATACTCTGATAAGGAGTCACAAACCTTGAACCACTCGGCCTGACTTTCATCTGTTTTGCTTTTCACCTCACAGACGTGGAAATGCCAGACCACAACTTGGAGCCGCCACGCTTCTGTCGACAGGCTCTGGAACACATCTTGCAGAATTGGCAGGCCATCCGTTCCATGATCAGAAGTGGCTGCACCAGCGATCTCAGTGTGTAAGTGAACCGCTCGGCCGTAACCCTTCCAGATCCTTCAAAATCAGCAAAGAAGTTTCAAGGATTGTTCAGGCTCGAGGAAAGCACAGCCCAGCAAGGAATGTGTCCATCATTTTTTGGCACTATGGATGACTTTATTAGGATTGAGATTCAGACGGATTGCTGACAGAAATGTCTCTTGATAGGGATAGGGTTTACCTGTTCTAAGCTATGATTGCAAACTTAGTTTAGTCAAAGCACCCAGAATATGTCAGCATGAAAATCTTCGGCAGGAGTAATTATCCTTTGAAATGTCTCAATCTGATTTTTCAGGAGCTGTGCACCAGACTGCAGCAACCAGCCCCACACACCAATGGCAGAAGAGGAAGTCTACTTGAACAGCCAATCTGAGACCATGCGATTGGACTGGTTCACCCACACCCTCATCGTCAAATGCACCAGTGCAGTAAGCCCCCATCAGTTCCAAAGAAATTGGCTTTATCACTCCGTTAAGAGGATCATTCAGGATTACAGCATGGTTCCTTATAACATGCCAAGATGTCAGCAGAAAGTCCAGCTGTGGGCTTAGGAAGTCTGTGCCTTTGATCTGCTGATTTTGCTCCTTTTTTTTTATATTGTTAGGATTTGGACACACTTCTGACTACCTTGATCAAGAAGCTGACGACCACCTCCAACGCAGCTCAGAAGTCAGAGGTTGCGGATGTGGTGCGGCGATTTGTGCGATCTGTGGCCCGTGTCTTTGTTGTGTTGACTGTTGAAATGGCTCCTGGAAAGAAAAGGTATGAAGTGGGCTTATCCTTCGCTGGAAGTGGTCCAAAGCATGCAGTTCAGAAACATGTCCGGAATGGTGGAATGGTTTCAACATGAGATTTAGAGCATATGGTAGGAGACATTGACTTGACCCTTTCCCCAAACCATGTATATCTTGAGAAAGCAGAACCATAACAAGTTGCTTGCCGGGTCCTTTGCAAGATTTTCCGTTTTCGAAATTCTTCAAAAATTCATCATTTCATTTAATGGCCGTTTATACCCACATGAAGGACTCTTTGGGACTACTCTAAAGCTGACAGTTAACCTTCATTGACTTTTGAATATTCCATCCAGGCCTGCAGCCTTTGAAAAAGAGCCCAGATTGTGCGGTGTTACATAAGATTCTTTTGTTCCCGAAACCGGCACACTGCACTGCTGACCTCTTTCAATAGGGGCCAGATTAGCGCGCAACGGTGCTGTGTGGCTCATCGCTGCGGTGGTGGAGAGCTTTTGTCGCCGGTGGTAATCCACTTGCTCTAAATGCCTCAAACCATGGTATACTGTTTCAAAACAAGGCTGGATTATCTCCACAATTGAAAGCGAAAAAATGTTGGTAATGCCCAGCAGCTCAGTCTTTTGTGCTGAGCACGGTCTTTTGTTATAAGGCCCAACTCTTCTGTCCCAGTTCCGGGCTCCTTAGCTCTGCATATAAAGCCTATGTACTCGAAAATGGGTCGCCCGGAAGGAAATGGTTAACCCTAACAGTCCCAAATCCTCCAATTTCGATACAATTTTACATACACCCTAGGGGGTTGGGGTTAATATATGTTTTTTAAATTCTAAATAAAAAAATGTATTTATTGAATATGTTCATCTTTGCCCCCCAAAAATCTTAGCTTTCTTTACAGCATTGAGTATGTTTGATTTTATTTGACCCCTGCTGTGTTACAGCTCGGAGGCAGTGTTGCGCTGCAAGCGCGTCTTCCAAGCCCTCATCCACCAGTCAGTCGGGGAGCTCTGTGAGATTGCGGAGTCCCTCATCGCACCAGTCCGCATGGGCATCACGCGGCCCACTGCCCCCTTTGCACTCTTCAGTAGTCACGCTGATGCCGTACAGGTGGGACTTTTCACACAGAAATTCTAGATCTTGACATAGGAGATCCAATCCAAGGGATGGATTCGTACATTTCACACTTGGAAATGAAACAAAGATCCAAAGAAAAAAATGCTCAATAAACATAACCATAAAGAATAGACACCAGATTCTGTTACACCAGCCCTGTTTATCTGTTTCATGATGAATTTTTGTGTGGGGAGATGTTAATTTATATAACAGGTTTTGCCCTAACCCAACATATTAATGTGTACGTCGGGTAAGGGCAAAACCTTTTGTATAAATTAAGCCCAGTTTATTATCTCCATTTGAAGTTGGGAGTTGAAGCCCTTGAAACACACACTGGTTAATGTAACATTTTTTAGCCCACATTGGACTGCTAGGACATGGCTATGACAGTTTTGGCAAAATGCATGCAACTAAACAGGTAATGGGGAAAACAACAGTTTCTGTCAAGATGAAAGATACTCCATCTATAACCAACTGCACCAAAGATACCGAGACTCTGTTCTGTTCCTGGTCACACAGGGAAGCGAGGAACTATTCTTTGCAGAGCCCCTGCCCCGTCAGAACAGCTCGCGGTCAGAGGCGATGAGCAGCATAGGCACCCGTCCTGTTGGTAGCCTGCATCATCGCCGCTCTGTCACCAGCCGACTTGGAGACGATGAAGAAGAACCGGATATTGGGGCTGATGGCATGGAGGTCGATGCAGTGGAGGGAGAAGCCCTGGATGTTCCCCGTGATTCTCATCATCGAGACCCTGTAGAGGGCGACGGTAACCCTGAAGGGGAACACAGAGACGACCAGAACGAAGATGACGGTAAAGACAGTTCATCTGTAGTGATTAACGACCACCTTTTGTAAAAACTTCAGAGACCCACAGCATCGTTGGACTTCCCCAACAAATCTGACTACAAGTTAAGTGCTAAGTGAGTTTTTGTGTATTTTGATCTTCAAGTGTCTGGCGTTGTGCAGATTCCCTTTCGTGCTTCATTTTCTCCAGGCAATGACAGTGACATGGACCTGGATCTTCTAGCTGAGAGTGACAGTGACAGTGACAGTAACCATAGCAACCAAGACCAGGACAATGCCAGCCAAGACCAAGATGCAACTAGTGGTCGTCGCAGCACGGTGACAGCAGCCACGGCTGGCTCTGATGCGGGTACTTGTAGAATCTTAAACCTTTCAGTTGATTTTATTAATCTCAGCTGTTGAACTGTTGAACAAGTAATAGTATGAGATTAACGTTGTAATGTGGAAAAACCTCATCCCTATTTACTGTAGATGTACTAGCCAGCTTTCTGCTCAGAGTACTTTAACCTTGGTTGGTTTGCAAAGACTTAAGCAGTCACTGATTTTGAAACAGGTGGCGGGTCGGTGGCTGTGTTCTACTCAGAAGACGAGTCCTCCTCAAACCTGGATGATGCAGAGGGTGAAGATGATGATGACAGCGAGAACGAGATTGAAGAGGAGGAAGAGATGGAAGACCCCTCATCTTTTGGAACGGACACCCTGGACAGGCCGGGTACTAGCAGCAGACAGGGTGGGTCCCGGACAGCCCAGCCCCAGCACCCAATGCAGTGGGCCTTCCGGCACCAGACTTCTAGGAGCAGTGACACCAATACGACCACACCCGCTACGTCCTCCAGTAACCGTGAGTTTTAGGTTTTTCTGTTTTGCGACTCAGTCAGCCCTATTAAATGAGTCCAAGCTAATTGCTGTGTTATTGATGACTACCCTAACACATTCAAGCAATTACCAGTTTGTTTGCTGACCACCTGTTGGAAAGCGAAGTGAGACCCAGAGTCTGTCCCTTGCCATTGTGACCCAAGAGGCCCGTTGCTTAGCTCCAGTATCCTTTGCATGACAGGACTGAGAATGTGTCTAACCTGTTGATTGGATGCCAATACTTGGAGAAACCAGATATCCCAGTGGATGCCTCTTGGATAACTTGCTCAGCTAGGATTTTAATGGAGAGTAGGTATTATCATGCTTAGGAGGTAGGCATAGCAATCATCATCATGCTAAGCGTCTAATGTTTCTAACATTGCTAGGGGGTCTGATCTACATTGATGCCTCCAGTCAGCGCCGCATGGCCATCAATGCAGCCAGTGCCCTGGCCAATAGCAACAGTGTTACATCCAGTAACGAGACAGCGCCTTCTACCACAGCCAGCCGTTTGGCCAGGGCCTACGGGATCGTGGTGCGTCAGATTACCGAACTCCTGGCAATGCTGATGATCTACCACGGTCCAGAAAGCTTGCGGGAGAGCGTGGAAGTCTCAGCCGAAGAAGCAAGTGATTTACAAGTAGGTTTTAGTTGATAGTTTAGGCACCAAATCATTTCTAGGGACTGGAACCTTTTAGACCTGGTTGGAAAAGGGTACTAGGTACTAGACCAGCATGATCAAAAGCTTTGAAGTCATTCAGGTGTATCAGTAACTTGCTGCCATAATATCCAGAACTAAACAAAAAGGGGCTTAACTGATTAGCAGGTGCTGGTAAGATAATCAGACAACACACACACCCGATATTGGATAGTTTACCCGTTTTGCCACTGGGAAACAGTAGACCCCGGCTAGAACTGCACCTTCTTTGCCAACCAGCCTGCATTCAAGGCCGGTATCTGGGCTAGTATGGAAGCGCTATATACAACCAAGTGAAACATGGGGGCCATTTTCAAACCAGATTTAAATAGTCATGGTCAGTTACTTACAAAGAGGGGGAAGTTTTTCCACTTTGTTCAAGAAAACTTTTATGGAGCTATTGGTATGTATTGTGTTTTTTATATTTTTTTTTCTTCTTGTATAGTCGGTTGTGGAAAACTGCCTAAAGCCAACCTGGGATTGGCTCTTTTGCATCATGAACAGCACAGAAGCACAGCTTCGTTATGGCAAGGCTTTGACAGCAGCCACTGACCCTGCCCATCCGACTCACCCTAACCACTCCCAGTATATGCGCGGCCTGCGAGGTGCCGCCCGTGAAGCAGCAGCCCGTGACCAGTCGTTCCAGCGTAGCCTGGAGAACCGCCGCAACGCTGCCACTTCGCACTCTGCAAGCAACAGCGAGGAGCATGTAGCCCTCATGGACTTCCTCAACTACACCCTCTCGCTGATGCGCTCCCACAACAGCGAGCATGCCAGCTGGCTGCCTGTCCTCGACATGTCTGCCCTCAAGCACGTCGCTTACGTCCTGGATGCCATGATTTACTACATGCGCTGCACCGAGCAGGACGGTGCAGCTGCAGGGATAGCAGCAACTGACCAAGATCGCATCCGACGATCCTCCTGGAACCTAGTTTCTCAGGAGTATGAAATAGAGGAGGCAGCTGACGAAGAAGGCACTGATGCCAGCGTGGTGTTGGACACAGAGAGTGTGGAGGAAGACAGCAGCGTCACTGGCTCCACCTCTGGGCAGAGACATCCCTTCTTTGTCCGTTCCGACTCAACCACCTTCCTAGGATGCCAACCACCAGATCCCTTCAGCACACCGCTCTCGGAAGCCTTGCCGCTAGCTGACAGGCCGCAGCTGCTTCAGCCTGACGCCACCCGGGAACAGCTGTTTGGCGTCCCGCATCAGGTTGTTGGTGGAGGGTCCTCAGACCCCCCGACTGTGGCCTCCCACAGTGCGTCAGTTACTGTCGAGCGACAGTTCCTAGAAGTCATTCCAATGAGGATGAGCGTCTCGCAGCGCAATCCGCACATGAGCAGCGATCTGGATGACGCTGAAGATGAGATTGATGCTGATGGGATGCATCCTGCGCAAGAGGGAGAGACCTTGGTTGCTGGGGAACCTCAGCGGATGTCAGATGTAACAAATGGGAATGAACTTGGAACAAGATCAGAACCCTCCAGTGATCCATCAGGTGGGTTCACTTTTGGACTTCATTGCCATTGTTTTTTATGTGGAAGCTATGAAATTGTTGGCTAAATTTGATTATATCTGTGTGGTTTGCTATTGAGCTGTTCAAAGCTCACATTAATGTGTGGTTATTTGTCGAAACAAAGCTTTAAGCTACATGTACCAAGTTGGAGCTGCCCTTATCAATTTTCTTACAGGTAATTGATTGTAGTTTTAGTTACTTGCTTGAAATACCACTTAACAGCTTAATACTTTGGTAGAGTTTCATGGCATTGCTTTTTATCTGTCCTGGTTTGGTTTTTCCCTTTGTGTTCTTCGTAGGTGCCAGCTTAGCTAGTCTGTCCACTGTTCTCATGAGCCAGAGTCAGGGAGTTGCCAGTCATCAGACCCTCTCTTCCCAGGGCACCTCTAGTGACCCCAGCACCTCCGGCCGCAGCCTCTCACTGGGCTCTAGCGGGCCTTCCCTTGATCCCCGAGCAGAGAGAGACCTCCGCTGTGGTGTCATCAGGGCTGGGTCCTTCCCTGATCCTCCATTCTTTCCAGACATCCTCGGCGGGTCATTGCAAACCCCACCTACTGCCAGTTCCGTGTCATCAGATAACCGGGAGCTGTTGAATGCTATAGCCACCATATCACCCCAGGAGGTGTCAGTCATCCGGACGACGGGGCTGGCTCAGCGACCGCCTTCATATGAAGAGGTTGCCCATGGAGGCAGATTGGTTGAGGAGCTAGCTGGACCGAACCAGGGACCAAGACCTCAGGAAATGAGTACGCTTGCAGACCCTGCCCAACTTCTTGCCGGACCATCAGCACTCAGCCCCATTGATGTCAGACTAGATGCTGCGGGTGGAGTACCACCCACGCCTAATTTGCCCCCTCCCATGCAGAGCCCCCTTACCAGGGGCGGGGCCCTTGCAGCAGATGACCGCCCTTCCCGATCAGTGAAGCCCAAGGACGTTCGCAGCAGTGGGATTAATGCAGAGGCAGGATTAGCGATGGGTCCAGGACCTAGCAACTCGTCTGGTGTAGACTTGGGAGGTCTGCTTACTGTTGGGCCAGGGAGACCTGACAGGTATGTACGCAAGGTTCACACCTGCATCATACTGATTTTAAAGAGGGTTGGACGATAACTGTGTTTCCGGTTTATCTTCTTGCTTAATAGCTCAAGAACCTTTACTCACTTTTGAAAAATTTCCTCAGAAGATCATGTAATGCTTGCAAAGGCATTGCATAATTTCCAGGGGAGTATCCGAAACTTTTCAAACCATCATCAATTTTTTTTAACTTTGTCAGATTTAAGAGTACCCTCAGCCCCCTGGTCTCAGTGGACAACCTTCTCGGGCGATGGCGTCTATGTCTGGAGCTTTTCGGCCGCGTATTCCTGGAGGACGTAGGGGCAGAGCCAGGCTCAGTACTGGGGGAATTACGCCCCTTTGAGGTCAAAGAGCTGCGCTTCCGTCGTGAAATGGAGAAGCTACGCAACAACAGAAACGGAGACCTGACTCTAGAAGTAAGTTCAGGAAGCATCTTCATGGAGTCATGTCTCACCTGATAAAAATTCATCACAGATTTCTCTGTGACTTGTATTTCCCTATGAGGAAAAGATTTCAGGTTCTCAACAGGTTTTTTTTGTGAGCATAGGAGTTAGTCAAAAATGTTGAAGTGGGGGAAGGAAGTTTAGTAGGATGGGGGAGGTGGGAAAGGTGTACCAAGCACTGTAAATATTCCCCTTTCATCCGGCAACTGTGATTATTAAACGTGAGACATTTCAGATGTAGCCAGTCTCCTTTACAATTGTTGGTGTGATTGTATTAGGTGGAGCGCAAACGTGAACTCCTGATCCAGCAGACCGTCCGTCAGCTCAACTCCTTCTACAACCGTCGCAGCAGTGCCTCCACAGGGCCACCCATGGCCGTTCAGCGGGTCAAGGTCACCTTCAAGGACGAGCCGGGGGAGGGCAGCGGGGTGGCACGGAGCTTCTACACGGCCATCGCTGAGGCCTTCATGTCTGGGGAGAAGCTGCCCAGCTTGGATGAGCCCCAGGGAAGCTACAAAGGGCCCCAGTACAGTGAGTAGTGTCTGTCTTGTGCTTTTCATCAGTAGGAGCGATTTACAGTACCACTGAACATTACAGCCCTAAACTTTGAGGTGTTAGTGTTAATCGTGAAGAGCCTTGTTGGACTTGGCATGTTAACCCCTTCACGGCGGGATTATGTTGACCGCGACTGCCGGGCTGTGGTATGCCCTGAATGGAGGGCATTGTCCAGCAGCAGGCGCCATTGAACCAGCAGCTGCATGGTGAATAGACTGTATGTGTGGTATGCACTAATGCTCACACAAAGGTGCTGTAATAGCAGTCATCCGTAGCGAAGGGGTTAAGGGTTTGAGAGAGTTCAAATTAAAGGAGTGAACACTACTTTTTGGGAAAGGTTGACCTCTTGCCACTCCACAATCACTATTCAGGGTTCTAAATCACCATACCTTGCCCAAGCTTTCACAACTAAAGCTCCTCATTCCCCCTTCCCATTCCTAGTGACTCACAAAAACCGTTCTTCAGCGTTGTATGCTTCATTGCTAGAATTTTTCACTTCCCTAATGTGTATCACTTCATGAGCTCATACAGTTGTGTAACAACATTCTGAATACCAGGAGTTTAGTGTTGCACTAAGGGAACAATTGGATATTTAAAGTCAGGTCCCACCCAGGCTAATATGGGTCTTTTTGTTCAATCTACTGATAAGCAGCGAGCCTGCAGTTGAAGTACGATTGCAAGATTTAGTCGCTCAGCGCTGTTGTCAAAAGCATTCACATATTTATCTTTTTCCTTCCCCGTATAAGATGATCCTAGTGTATGCCTTTTAAATTGTTTGTTGAAATTTTTAATACAATGTGCAGGGCTCATACAACGGCTCCGAAGTCAGGAACGGGAGCGTGAACGTCGCCGCCAGTCGGACTATCGCAGCGGTCGCATGATCCAGATGTTTGAGCGTGAGCGGAATCAGCTGTCATACGACGCCCGTCCCTTCTACCCGCAGGACGGTGGTAGCGCAGAGGAACGGGTCGGTGACTATGAGCCTCTGACTCCGGCCAAGCAAGCGCTGGGAGAGAGGTTGTTCCCCAGGGTTCTGGCCTTGCAGCCGGTGAGAATTCCCAATTGACGATAAAACAAAATCATTGGATTTGTTCCATTGTTGAAGTAATCAAGTTCTGCTCTGATCCGCATCATTGCATTCAACCTGTTCTGCTTTAAGTCAAAATTTTTTAGAATTTCAAATTTAGGTGTTGGATGAGAATATGTTCAGAAATTTGCTGTTGTTTTTTCAAATTTCCAAAACTGGTGTTTGATGGGTTTGCACATATCACCTCATATCTTTCTTTACTGACCTTTTGTTTCCAGTCATTGGCAAGTAAGATCACCGGCATGTTGCTTGAGTTGCCCCCGGCTAGGTTGCTTCTGTTGCTGTCCAGTGAGGAGACGCTAAGAGAAAGAGTGGATGAAGCCGTGGACATCATCCTTGGCCATGGAAGGTAAGCCCAACACTGGTTTGTAGAACTTCACATTTGTTTGTTAACTTTCTTGAATCTGGCTAAGTGGGTAACAAGGACTTGGTATAAAATGTAACATCTTGGATCTGAGCAAGATCCTCCAACTGATGAAAAAGCAGGGGTCTTTTCATTGATGGGTCTATGCTTGGAAAGTTAGCACGCTGCTTGTACATGTATTTAAATTTGGATAATGAAGAGTAGCCAAAATGTTGATTGGGTGCAGTTATTTTTAAGAATGTGTCCTTGCATGTTGTCATTCCTAGGGAAGAGAGCTCAGAGAGCAGCTTGCTCGATCTGGACATCTTCAGTCTCTCGGACCGTGGAAGCTCAGGACCCTCCTCTGGCCCCACCCACCAGGACAAGCCCAAGGCGGGCTCGGGTGGGGAGGGGCCACGCCCGGATGAATCGGAAGACGGGGAGGAAGGGACAGAACTCGACAACGAGCCGTTGTTTTACCAGCCGGGGAAGAGAGGATTCTACTCACCCCGGCCGGGCAAGAACAGCACTGAGCGCCTCAACTGCTTCAGGAACGTAGGCAGGTAGGAATGAAAGAGTGAAATAATGTAAGGCTTCAAAGACTAGACAGAATTTTTTCCTGAGTTGCTTTGTACGTTTAAAAGGACGGACAATCATTGCTTTCCTGTGTATGGGATGGCAGCCCATTGTGATTTACTCTTAGGCTGATGCCAGTGGGTATTGAAACTCTTGGGTGATAAGATCCACTTAATGGTAAATGGCTTGCTTGAGGACACAACATAATGACCAACAGATAGATTCAAAACTGTAGCTCCTACTTTTGATAACCCACTCTTGACGGTCCTTACATCCATACATATTATTCACTTGTCTTTCTTGACCTGTTGCAGGATTCTAGGCCTGTGCCTCCTACAGAATGAACTTTGCCCTCTGACCTTGAGTCGACACGTTGTCAAAGTGCTGCTTGGCAGAAAGGTGAGCCTACCAGACAAGTCACCGGTAAAAATTGAGCATGAAAGTATCAATGATATTTGCCTTGTTTGAATGAGTAGGAAAATAAAGAATTTCTGGTGAGGAATAAGGCTTTCTGGACTAGGAAGTCAATCAGTATTTCACTGAAGTAATCTTCTTCCCATCATAGGTCGGCTGGCATGATCTAGCCTTCCTGGACCCAGCTCTCTATGAGAGCCTGCGACACCTTCTTCAAGATGCACAGCGGGACGGAGCCGAGGGGCTGATCAGTTCCCTGGACCTCTACTTCAGCATTGAGCTGTGCAAGGAAGAAGGGGGAAGCACCGGCAGTGGGGGTCAGGTGGAGCTGATCCCCCACGGCATGGAGACTCGTGTCACGGTGGCCAACGTCTACGACTACGTGCGGCGTTACGCCGAGTATCGGATGACAACGGTTGCCCAGAAAGCCCATGCGGTAGGTCGTGAGCTTGTAGGATTGACAGATGTCGCACCCAGCCTCTGTCACTTTACAATGGCTACAATGGCATGTAGCCATTGTTTGGCATGCCCAGGGCTTATCCACTATGGACACGGGGCAAGGGTTCCCCTCGTTTTCTCTGTTTTCTCAGAATGACGCAATCTACATTCAGAATTTGCATCTTGGCATGAACAGGAAAAAGCTCTTTTAAGCTTGTTATAGTTAAGCTCTGAAGACAAACGACATGCTTCCATATTCATTTGAACAGATAAAATCAGAGAAAATGTGTTTTCCTCAGATGTGCTCTTTCAAGTACAAAGAAGGTATGAGAGGGGTTATCACCCATTCTTCTTTTTTCCTTTGTGGCAGTCTATGAAGCAAGGCTTGTACGACGTCCTTCCCAAGGGAGCCTTAGAGGGTTTGACGGCTGAAGACTTTCGTCTGTTAGTCAATGGCTGTGGCCAGGTCAACGTACAAACCCTGATGAGCTACACAACGTTCAACGATGAAACAGGTGAGCGGCTAGTCATGTGGCACAGCTTCTAAATTCAAACGGTGCTCCATTTCACGCTGCGCAGGCGTGTTGTGTCTTACCAGAGTCGGTGAAGTGCTCAGCGTGTCTCAGTTTTTAATCTCAACCTCATGCAGTTTCAACTGTTTCCTGTTCTTTTTGTTTGTGTGTGTGTGTGTGCTGTGTGTTTCTCTCTGCAGGAGAGACTCATGCGGGTGAGGGTGGGGAAAAACTGAGCCGTTTTAAGCTGTGGTTCTGGGCCATCGTAGAGAAAATGAGCAACCAGCAGAGACAAGATCTGGTAAGCTGATTGTCACACTCTCTCAACAAATATGACCAAGTTGATCACAGCACAACAAATTGAACCCCATGTTGTTGTCAGGTTCTCCACAAGTACTGCACAAGGATGTTACCAGCACCCAGTCTTAACATGAGGCAGGAGCTATTTGTACAACAATTATAACAAAGACGTTTCTTTGTCACTGTGCACCAACTGTTAGTAGCGAAAGTACTTGGGGCTACTCAAGTGAAACGTGCATTGCTGGGCCACCAAGTAGAGGGACGCATTTGCAATCTTTAGCAATTCTGTGTTTCCATCTGCTGCCAGGTCTATTTCTGGACCTCCAGTCCCAACCTACCGGCCAGCGAGGAAGGGTTCCAGCCGATGCCGACCATCACCGTCCGGCCACCGGACGACAATCATCTGCCCACAGCTAACACCTGCATCTCCCGCCTCTACATCCCACTCTACAGCTCCAAGGCCATCCTGAAGAAGAAACTTCTCATGGCAATCAAGACCAAAGCATTTGGCTTTGTGTAATTCCTTGTTAGTTAAGAAAAAGAGTAGTGTATGCAGTATTTAGATGTCTAAGTAGGTTTATCTGTCAATGAATCTTTCTCTAGAGGGACTAGTTGGTCCTTTTTGTTCCTGACATCATGCTTGTGGCTTCTCGGGTGCTCCGTGTGACCTTCGGCTGGAGACATAAAACTAGCATTTACTCACAGCCCACTTTGATGGTTCTGTTGGCTGTTGCTTCGCTTAAGTGCCTTCAAAGGCTTTAAAACTCTGCTAGAAATTTCTTGTCAAACTTCCTTTAGGGGGCCCCAAGGATCCTGGAAAATTAGCCATACAGAGGAAGTCATCTGACATACGTTAACAAAAATTTGAGGGGGATCCCAGGTAAGAATTAATTTTGTACGAGTTCATTGGTTAGATTGTCTGTCAATCAAGATCTTTGACAAGTGATTGCTGAAAATGATTTGTGGAGAATTTTTGTTTGAGTTTCATGTCCAGGCTGCCTCCATATTTATTTATAACAGGTTAATTTGCTTCATGAATTCAAAGATTGAAAGATTAGTTGTGAAGGATTCCCTTTCAGGAAGGATTTGGGTTATTAGGGAAATATGTATTGTTTCAAAGAAATCTCCCAGTTGCGGTGAAGAAACAAATTTATGTTTCCTTGTAGCCTTTGAGCTTAGAGTGGTGCTGCTCAAGTATTAAGAGGTAAACCACTATTCAGCATGTGGTTTCTTATGGGCTCTAGATTTGATATCTTGAAATTTTAGCTGTGATATTTTTTAATGGGCATTTCAAGAGAGGAACCTTCACCAGTAATTCCATTTATCAAAGCACGTTTGTTCCTTTGAGTGTGAAGGGTCTGCTCATAGCATACTACGAAGTAATTTTACTTGTCACCCTCCACAATGGCTCAGTAACTTGAAATCCTCTTGTTTTTTTAACTCAGGAGAATAAGACGCTTTCTCCCTTTTGACAAATTACTGGGTTTTTTTTCCCAACAAATGTGGGCAGGGCTGCATTCCAGGAGTTCAGAAGAGTTTAGTACATGTTGAATTATTCAGATGTTTCAAACAAATATGTGGTACCGTATTAGTATGGAGTATTGCCAGCACATTGCTAGCACATTATACCCGCCTCCATCCCATTCTGTCCCCGCCCCTTGTATTTCAGCGACCTCCGACCTTGCCAATGTACACTTGCACACTCTGTACAAATGCAGGAGCATTGAAAATGACACATGTACATACACCTACAAGTATACAGCAGTGTGCAAAATCATTGAAACACGGTATATTTTAGGGTACAGTGTACATTGAAATGTATTTTAGTTCCCTGTGATGAAATGGCAATCAATACAGTATGTTTATCCATGAAATGTTTTTATTTTCAGCATTAGTGCTTGAAGACGTGCAAAATTATCCAAACACTCAACACTCTGCGTATGCATACTCGCCGTTTGGTTCCAAACTGTTCCAACTTAGATTCATTAATTTATAGGACTTTAGACCAATACATGTACTCCTTTGTCCAGTACTTGTGTTTCTTTGCTTCACGCTGTTGTTCTCCCACAATGATGGCTTCTTACATGTAGCTGCTACTCTGTCTACAAGTCCTTGTTTTATCAACCACCAAAGCACAGTTGATGAAGAAACTGTAACCCCATCTGTTAGCATGCTGTTGGTGTCATCTTGAAGCTCCCTTGAGCTTCTCCTCCGGTCTCCAAGACTTACAGTATTATGTCTCTCTGATGTTGCTTCTTCCATCCTTTCCCCTCGTGGTGTTGGCATGAATTGTGCCCAGACACCTGTCCAAAGTGTGTTGTACAGAGCTTGGGGCTGCAATTTAGGTCTGTGGTGATTGATCGGTAGCTCCATCCAGCATCAGAGAGGGCCTTTATTTATGCCCTTTGCTCAGTTGTAAGTTCCTTCTTTGCCCTGTTCACACGTAGGCTCACCCAGCACCATCTGTGTATCCCCATTAACCCTAACACTCCTCAGTCCTCCAATAGTTGAAGGATTGGGGAGTGTTAGGGTTATTTTAGTTAATACATGGGATAGTATGGGCCATGACAGGGGAAGCCAATAATCTGGTCCTGTCTCCTGTGACTACGGCTTCGAATTTGTATCAAAAGAGGCAGTGGTGCAGAGCCGTAGCCAGTGTTTTATTCTGTGCATGCCATAGTCTCACATGGAGACGCTGCACTGTGTCTTGCCAACATAGAGTGCAACATAAACCGTTGAAAACATTTCTTGTAGGGGTTTTCCTGAAGGACCCCATATGTATATTCGCAGTGGACGTTAGTAATGACACACGATAAAGCCAAAAGTGCAAAAGTTTCTTTTTTAAGAGATATTGAGCCATTTCATTCAACATTGTCATTAGAAGCGAGTATCAATCCTTGACATATAAACTGATTTTTATCAACACCATTAAACCCTACTAAATTCTTCACCATTCAAATATCAACTGGGCTTTCGGTTATAGGCAATGAATTGCTGAAAGAAAACAATTTACAGCAAACCAGATTTTTAAGTCTGTGAATCTGGCTTTAAAAACTTTTGCAAGCTAATGACCACCAGGATGGCCTTCAGTTCAACGCTGGCTTCATATTTATGTGTTTCACATTCTGGTGAAAAGCCTGGTTGCAAGAATACCACGATTTTTTTACACACACAGAAGTAAACGAATTTTCACTGCTCGAAAAAGGCTACTGCATAATTGTTTGATTACATAAGATCAATGACTAACAGAATAATCCATCAGACGTCTCGTTTCCATCACTAAAGCTCACTGGCGTTCCAGTGTGAGACCCTGAACAATGAGCTATTTAAGCCGAGGAAGGAAAGGTGATCTGTGCTCTGGGTTAGTCTGGACGCCTTTATGTACCCTTTCCGCTAAATAGGGGCTTTTCATAATTAGGTTCAACATTTTATGCATATGTTATCGACAGAAGGTTGTTGGTGCTGATGACCACCAAAGCTTGCCAGCCAGTCTCCCGTTGACGGATGGAGCATACTGTCCCAAATGTGAAGTACCCTCTGGTTCTTATCAGAACCACATGTACATGGACTCACAACAGGGATATTTTGAAAGGTGCTACTACAGACCTATTACCTTTACCAGCCACCTTCTCCATAAAGAACTTGAAATCTCAATTAATGCATGGAAAGAGCATTGCAATTGAATTGGACAAAAAACAAACTGCAGAATAATGGCCAAGAGGTAAACGAATAGCTGGTTACTAGAGTTGTCTGGATAGTCCATCCTTGAATTTGAAAACACTAGTTTATTTCACCACAAGCCACTTCAGTCTCAAATGTGCAAAGTGTTCAAATAATTTATACCATATGTACAGTAGAACAGTGTTAGAACAAAGTCCTTGTGACTTTACAAATTTCCTTGTTACAGTAGTTACCTTGCATTATCAGTCATGAAAAACAAAGGCTTGGGACCTAAAATTGTCCTTGTTATAAGACCTTGTATTAACAGAGCTCTTCTTATCTGTGTTTGACCGTATGCAAAAAAAATTCACAGGTATATTGATTGATATTTCATCACAAGTAACATAAGCTCCCAATGCCAGGTGTTCAAATAATTTTTGCATACCACTGTGTATTACCTGCAATTTTAAATTACCCACCTGCATGTACATGTAAACCGCAAAGTTTAAAATAATGTACAAGAAACATAAATCTGCAATTTATGGAACAAAATAACGCTCTAGAAATAGTGGTTCTTCCTGTACAAAATACAAATTCAAGCAAGCTGGGACATTTCCTGTAGGCAGTCCGTAATTATATCTGATGTGGGACATGTATGAGAAATAAAGAACACCAAAAGATGTGTACAAACATTGTCTCCAAGTGTGATTAAATTGGGCTTAAAAAGGCAATCCATCATTTAGTTGCCACATCTTATGATTTATCATGAACTAAATCTATCATAAAATAGCATTTTGCCCCTCAAAAATGGAATTTACAAATTACAATACGGTGCTAATTTCTACTTTTGATGAGGCTCAAATTTCTTCTGTCCTATGAAGTCAAATGCTTGTGGTCAAATTGATAAGAACAAAGAGAACCATGTAACCTTGCCTTTCATAAAAAAATACAAACGATGCAGTTCATGAATCTCCTGAAATTATACCCATAAACAATCAATTGCACTCGCACATGTACATGTACGTGGATAATTCCTGAAATTAGGGGTCCAAAAGTGTGAGATTTGTGTGTCCCTGTTACATCTGACCTTTGTTTTTTGAAAAGGAAATATCACCGGAATGTTTTTTAAACTATTACTATTTGTTTGGCGGGTAATTTGCATTAATTTAGCACTCTTGGAAATAAGAAAATGTGTTCTGAATTTACAAAATCGTATGTCGGATGTAACGGGGACATGAAAAAAAATGGACCCCTAGTTTCTGGAATTACCCACCTACATTTCTATCTCCCTTAATGTAATTCCATGACTCTTGCTGTTACTATTGTTTTCTTGACCATCAAACTGCATGTATGTGATATGCAAAACATTTCTATCCTTCTATTCATCTGAGGTAATTTTATGATTTTCATCCGAGGTAAACATAAATACACTAGACAGCAAAAGAAACTTACCACTTCTGGCCACACAGGCCAAAGGCCACAAATAAAAATTTGCTCCATAGAAATAAACAATTTTTGTACACAGGTATGCTGCAATACTCTAACTAATCACATGCCCAAGAGTAAGTGATTATCTTTATACCGGAAGAATTTGACATGCACAGCAACTTGGTTACTGAAGCAAAAGTCACATAATGAGCCTTAAGTTTTATGCAGAAATCAATGTCACAGGACGAAATAAAGAAGTCACAATCATTGCTTTTCAATAATGTGTATGCATAGTCAGTAAGGATGGAATCCCTATACAGAAACCACTCATGCCCATCATTTTGACAAAACAGGTGTTCACTTTGTCATTGGTTGTTTAAAATGTTGCCCATTCATGGGTCATTTTTGCTTGGTGGAGAGTGCTTTTGTGTGTGACTTTTGATTCAAGAACCAAGTTGCTGTGCATGTTAATTTCTTCTTTGTTATAAAGATATTCACTTGCTCTTGGGCATGTGATTAGTAAGGGGTATTGCAGCATACCTGTGTACAAAAATTGTTTCTATGGGGTGAATTTTTATGTGTGGCCTTTGACAAAAGTGGCAAGTTTCGTTTGCTGTCCAGTGTATTTGATTCTACGTATTCCAACCAACAATTCGTACACTTCTAGTTTTATCAACATATCTCCTGAATACAGTCAAAAGTAAAACTGAAAATTCAATGGGAACAAAAATATACAGACGTCTAAACGATACAAATACATGTGGCGGTACACAATAATTAAATAAAAATGAAAGATATTTCTTCTTGTACACAAATGTAGATGCATGACTCAAGTGTGATGCTGTTACACAAATGCTGAAATATAATAACATTTCCTACTTTAGTTTTTGAACTAATTCATTTAAAATCTGCCAATAACATTTCATCAGTTCATGGAGTTGACATCATTTGATGTACAGTGTGTACTGTAACTTCCGGTTGCAATTTTGGTTTTTTTTAAAAACTTTTTATGACAAAGGCCTGCAAGTCCACCAACACTGCATCCGATTACATGCTTGTCAATTCATGATATAGGTGATTTGTTTCCAAATTTTAAAGCACTTGGTGTCAATACCGTACATGTATTTTCTAAATTACATAGCTGCAATTCTCTTAGAGTTGTCAGTAAGTACTGACCTCAAAAATAAATTTTTTTTGAAAGACTACAAAAGTAGTAGGAATAAAATAGAATATATAACACAGTAACAAAAATACATAACTTTGAATCTGTGGCAGCCCATGTTTGAATTGGGATTTCAATCTATTTAAAGAAAGCTACAAGGATTTTTATTTTTCTCTTTATTTATACATGGTCATTGCAATCTCATTAAAACTTTTATTAGATCGGAATTTAAAATACTCTGATCTCTCTCAACAGCAGAGCAAAGCATACATGTAGGCCAATGACCACTGCACCAGTGATGGCATTCCTGACCACTTGCTTCATGTCCTTGGGCAGTATGAAGGCGCTGAACTCCGTAGTCAGATGAAACATTCTGTGGGAGAGGAGCAGGTATATCATGGAAGCCAGGGCAAAGTTCATCAGAGGGTAGCCTGGAATGAAGACTATGAGTCTCCGGGCATCATACTGCATGTAGATGTGCAGCTGGCTGATGTAGGTCTCCAAGGTGATCTTACCCAGGAAGGCAAAGAGACCCAGGTACCGCATCCGTAGCCATGGCAACAGGTTTCTGAAGAAGATGTAGACCAGGATTGGCACCCAGGAAGTATAGGGGTGAAGCTTGTTGTAGTCATATTTCTCTCGCCACATCACAGCGTCGTACCACATAACCAAACCAACAAGCAGTAACCCACTCAGGAACAACTTGATGGAGACAGCTAAGAGGTAGTCACGGCGATTCAGGTGCCGCTTGTCAAGGTAGTTCATAAACCATTCATAGTAGGGGTAGTTGTAGGCACACAGCATACCAACGAATGCCGCATAGTGGTCCAGTCCTGCTCGGAACAGCCACTCGTGCATGGAACCCTTGTATGCCAGAACAAACCAGAAGGGCTTGAAGACCACTTCTCGTAATGGTGTGTCAAACACCAAAGCGTTGAGAACAAAGTAGCAGACGAATTTGAATGCCATCTTGGCTCTGTCCTGGTTCCAGGAGGGAAGAATACCCATGAATGCGTAGACAGAGAGGAACCAGTAGGTATGCATGGCACAGATGTAATACAGCATATAGCTGTTGTCGGTCACCAACATGGTCAAGACTACCAGAAAGTTGAGCCGAAACAGCATCTTGAGGAAGCGCCAGAGAGAGAAGTCCTTGCGTACCCAGAAGAAAGAGAAATTACCTGCAAGAACCAGCACCAAAAAGTTGAAGTGAATAGAGTACTCAACTTTGTGATTACTTACTACACGTACTTTGAAAGAGTTATTCTCAGGTCACCACACCCTGGGCTGGATCTAGCTCAGCTGGTAGAAAACTGGAGCAGTATTCTGGAGGTTGTGAATTTCAATCCGCTATGTGCTTTTGTTTTTAACACTGCCACCAAAATAATCATATGTCAAGCTGGTAACTTCCACCTGTGGTTTTTAATTGATTGCATTGTCATTTACATGTTAGAATGGTGAAACTGTTCCCAAGGAATAGTCTGGTAATGCTGTCAGCTTTTGTGAATTCGTAATAACCATACATGTACTTCTTACCAAACCCAGTCATCCAGACGTAACAAGCGATGAACAGCCTGATGTAGTTGTACGTCTCTGCTGCTCTGAAGTAGTGGTACCAGACAAACATTACTTGCATCCAGCCCTTCCATTCCTCAGTCTGGTCCCTGGAAGGAAGCATAAAGTAAGAGATCGTTGAGACAATTGAAGCCACAGCTGTAATCCAATGCCGCTAAAATCCACAGCCTTGACAAAAACTGATATTAACACAACTTTGTGAGACATACAATTTTCATCGAGCTAAGGTGGTAACCCAGTTTTGCTTACATGTACATGTACTTAGCAGAATCGCTTAACAGAAAGAGGTTTTCAGCCACTTGATTGAAATTCCTAACCTGTTCAGAATTTTATCTTGAGTTGATTGCAGGGTGAATGCTCCCGCAACGGCAAACAGCAGCAAAACCAAGAACATGAACAAGTCTCGTGAATACTTCCTCTCGGCCTCAGGCCACTCATGTTTGTAGTCACACAGGTAGAAGAACAGCATGATCAGGCCAAACATGGCACAGAACTTCAGGAACTCATCAAATGTCGGTGGTGGTTTCACCTTGGAGAATGTCATCGCCTCTTTCTCCATTTTCTGATGTTGACTTGCATCAACCTTCTCAGGACCAGTGTAAACATTGCTTGGCTGTTTAGCACCTCTGAAATCGCTGACAACTTTCTCATTTGGGATGTTTCTTTGGTTGTCTGCCGGTAGATTTGGCTCACTGTTTCTGCTTATGACCCTTTCCTTGTCAGCGTCTGACATTATTTCAGTTGATCCTTTGCCAGTTATTGCACCGTTTTGGCTGCCAAAAATCTGTGCATTTTTCCTTAGAGTTGTGTTTTGGCTGCCATTTTCCTCTACGTTGGGCAAGTCCGCTATGGCATTATTCCCGGATGCTTCCAGATCCAAACTGCTAGGCATGACAGTGACCCTGTCCCTGTGTCGACCATAGACCCATCGCAACAGCCACATGACAACGGCAGTGACCCAAAGCAGGAACAGGGTCAACTGGGCAATGGTGGGTGCAGCATGCGTCGACTGGCCGAGTGCTGCCGAACTGACGTTAAAGGCAGAGGGCGCACTCCGTCGCACAACATTCCCAAAGCTCCAGTGCTTCAAAGTCTCCATGACGAAATTTCAAATTCGTCACTCTTCACAAACATGTACACCTGACAAAACAACAACTAAAGTAAATTTTACTGAATGAAAAGTTCAAACAAACATCTCATTTGATAAAATGTCACTTACTGTTGCGTCCATTTGCCTGGGCATTTTGACAGGGATACTGAATTCTCCAAAGTCAACACCTACCGGGTACATGTAACACATACATGATCATCCTGTTTTAGAACTACTGCTACAGGTACATGTACATCATGCAAACAGAGAGCAAACAATACTGCAATCTGCCACGTTTACAATATTGGGTTTTTTTTAATTGTTACGTGCAGGGAATACAAGGCAGAAGAAAATCAAAAGACGGGAACAAGGTCAAAGGACAACAAAGGAACTAATTTGGAATAACATTTAATCCCTTGACGACAGGAATTTCTTTACGAAAGCCGACTCCAAGAATTCCAGCC